ATTTACAACATAAGAATAAATTGTATATGTGTATAATAATCCTATCTCACAATTTGATCTCTCCAGTCTATGGATCCTTATGGGAAACATGCTTTTTACTCTCAGAATGTTTCCAGTTTCAGAACACCAAGCAGTTATTATCACTTTCACACAACTACAACTGCCCATCCAGATGGGTCAGCTTGACTGCTATGGTCATGTGACTTCTCTGAAATGTCTTTCTAATCACCTGTGTGGAGGTGTGTTTCATTAAGAGAGTATTTTCTCCATATTCTCAACCCTTGTGAAACTATGAGGAGATTGTGTGAGGGTTACACCCTGTATCTATTGAAAAAAAAGGGTGAGAAATATTCGCACTGTAACAATGAATTACCCGGTATTAGATTATCACTACACAGATGTGCAAACTGTGAGATAGGATATGTTTGAAAATTGGATATAGGTTGAATGAAACACAACCTTCAAACAGAGGATGTTACTGTTAATGTTTCCAAATCCAAATACAGTGTTGAAAATACATAACATCTTAGATGCAATAACATATCTACACATTAGGCTGAACTATGTAACAATCTCATCAGACACTTGCTTCAACCAGGTTTACAGAGCCATTGACCCAAAATGTCATAAATCAGGACTAAAATACAACACAGTTCATAACAGGGAGACATGTTTTTCTGATTCTAGCCTGAAAGGCTTAAAAATCACTTAAAACCTTTTTCAATTTTACTTTTATTTCATTATTCAAAATACAACAGTAAACTATGTAATAATTAAATGCTTTTTTATTACTTTAACTTAAAAGAGTTTAGGCCTTGTTTCAAAAGGAATACTACACTTGTCACTGAAGGCATTAGAACCAAGAATATATTTCTTAAAACATGAAACCCAGGAAAGGTTCTTGCTTCAACAAGCCTTGTTTTAACGAATGGTATTCCATAAACTGTCCAGTTTTACACAATAAGCATTGAAAATACAGATTTAAACAGTCGGATTAGTTTTGGGTGGCCACAAATGCGCGCAGTTTTGAACAATAAACAATTTCGGGGGAAACAGTATGTGGTCTAGATAGAGTGCTATATTTTCCTGTCCTTTCCTTTTTGAAGACACACTGATTACTTTTTGTTGAAATAAGCATGACAATATTCTGAATAAGGACTAGATTCTGCAATGTATTTGTGGACAATGCACTGAACTAAACAAAAAACTATAGCCAGCTAGTTCTCTTTACCAAGACATTAATGATGTACTGCCCCCCAAAAAGATACATAACAGTGCTTGCATGTCCTTGCAAGAAACAAACGGTGTCAAAGTAATTGACAAAAGTATAAGTTCATTCTCCCAATCAGTAATGTTGTTTCCATGGTGACAACCTGTAGTAATTAGAAGCAATCAGTTTGTTGTGGCCTTGAATAAGAACTGTTAATACAGTTCTGCGTCCCGATCCACAGAACATTTACAACATTACGGCCTATTTTTAACAATATACTACATCACTGGCTTACGAATGATGTAATATTACAAACACTTTGTGGATAGGGTTCCTGATAAATACAGTTATGGCGATTTTCCACTAATCTGTGGATTTCCGACGGTTTTATTTCAAATTGATCAATTCTGTGAATGTGTGAGCGCCCCGCCCCATTCAATGACACACTATATAGTTTTCAGCTGAAAATAGATTTTCCTGTTGCCATCCCTGTTAATAGATCTTCCACATAAGCAGTTCAACTCGTCAATTCTGCCATAACCTTTTCTTGTTTCCAAGACAGATCAGTTCCAAATGTGCGAATGTAAATACATGTAGGTAACCAGAGTGACAAAATGTTTGGTCTCCATAATTACTGTAATCATAAATGCAAGGTTTAAGTTTGCTCACTAAAACTTTAGAAGTTAACTTTTTATTTATTAACAATGAAACCTGAAACTACTTGAGGTTTTCCTGGGCCATGTGGTTTATGAAAGAGACTAAATAAAGACATGAAAGAAAAGAATTTTGAGACAGAAATGTCTGGTCATAAGAAGTCAGGGGCAGGATGATCAAATGCTGTTTCAATGCAAATGATGTCTTGCAAGGCAAACATTTTTGAAGTAAACAAAGAGATAAACTTTACATGCTAGCCCAATAGCTTCACATGCATACAACCTTAATTCATATTCCTGTGAAAAATCACAAAAATTATTTCTGATAAGATGCATTATTAACAAAGGCCCTAAATATGGATAAGTAGCTTCATTTCTTTCTCGTTAAGGATAAACATAATAAAACTGATCACACTAATAATCTGTTGTCTATTAATTATGTATATCATAATTATGTGTTCTAATATTTCTGCATAATGCAAGTCTCTAACAGTAATTATTTCGCCATAGAAATATTGGAACTAAACAACAATGTTACAACACTAAAGAAAACAGGGAGAATTTCCCTTTAGGTAACAGCAACTAAACATCAGCTGCAGTGAGTGAGTTTAGTTTTACGCCGCTTTTAGCAATATTCTAGCAATATCACGGCAAGGGACACCAGAAATGGGTTTCACACATTGTAATCATGTGGGGAATCGCAGCTACAACAGTTTCTCTTCAAAACTTCAAAATGTACATCACGTTTTGAAAATGACGGTGTATGTCTTGACACCCTCATTGTTTGGTGTCTGATATAGATTTTAGTAGATCAGACTTGCAACTATGTCAGTACAATCACTGCTCAAAGGAATTCCATACTAATAAATAACTACAATTACAAAAGCATTAAGAAGGAGACTAGGCTCTGGGTTATTGGTAATACAAACTGACTTGATTGAACCATTCAAATCCAAAATTTTATACAGTGTGTGAGTTAAGTCATTGATGATAAAGTAATTCCCCTCCATGTCTAATATGGACACAAGTCTCTATTTTATAATTATAATGTCTAGAGAGACCATAACAGAAACCAAATCATTGGGTTTATGAAATACTTTCTGTGTGAAAATACCTCATGCTATCAGTAAAAGAAAACACTGTCTGGATATATCTAAAAGAGAACCTTATTTTTATACCGTCAATGGCAACTGGAATCGTTATATAAAGAATCTCAGTAGAGTGTCATTTAGTTTATCATCACAAGCCAACAAAAGTTCATCAAGACTTGCCACAAGTTTGAAACTTTTATCAACAACTTAAGATATACTTAATATCAAATATCATGAGGATGAAATGATCTTTATCATCCATTATAATTTTCCAAATATTTCTAGTTTTAAATAGTAATCTCCAGTGAGTTGAGTATGAAAAATACTATCTCTAATGGCAGAAGATTTGCGACAGCGCTTGATCTTGATGTCACAAGAGTCTACCAAACACTATGATTCAGTTTCATTGCAGCAAAATCTCATAGGAGCCATCTTTTGATCTCATTCAAGCTATTTCCATGTGGATGATAAATCCCATTCCATCTTTTTATCATTGCTTTACCAAGTACCTGAAGCAATTCTTCATCAGTGTTCAGCCTATCACCAACCATCATCTAATAGTTTACTATATGATATCACTCTATAAATTCTTCATCACTTTGCCAGATTATCATCTTGCAAAAGTTGCTGAATTACAAAAAATAAACCAAACAGATATCCATACAAAATGTATGCCAGACATCACCAAACTGGAACATGGCATAACACTGATTTACCATTCAACATTTGCTGAGGCCCAAATAAATCCTCCTTTGTCAAAGGTGCTGCTCACCAAATATTTAGTAGTATCTTTTGAACAACTGAGGAAGAATCATTCACTGCCTATCGAATTTGCTCCTGTCCTTGCCAAGTCTGACCTAGTAGCTCCTGCAGTTGGTCCTGTCTGTTCCAATCAACATGTATAGCAGACCATTAGGGCTAAATATAGAAGCAACAAAAATTGGTGAACTGCAAAGCAGTATTGTTGGTAAACCAGTTAAGCTGAAAAAAACACCCAAACATTTTGAAGCATTTTTTCGCAACTTCAATTAATTAGATAATTAGACCAGCTCAGAGTAATTCAACACTCAATGTCATCAAGTCATTCATTTAAGAATTAAACAGACGAAAAACCTTTGTATGAAATCAGCGGTAATGTCAAATATAATAGTCCTACAAAACATTGGTCATACCGACACAGTAACTCTCTGTACGACTAACATTATCACTAATGAGATGAACAAAATGTGAACATTCACTTGAAGCTCTCTGGCACTGATGTGTCTTGAACCGACTTCAGTCCAGACTGGGACTGATCAATAACAGTTGTCTCCCTTGTTGCAACTCTTACAGGGGGAAATCTGTACAATCAATAAGGACACGCTAGTTTTTAAGTACATCATCCAGAATAAAGAGCAGCTGGTCAGTCAACTATGACAGATCTATAAACAAAGGTCATCAGTGATGTCAATGTTGTGTCCAGCTGATCCACTCTGTCTGAGTGAATGCACTGGTATCAACTTCCTGATCCAGATCTCATCATGAAAGAGCCAAATAAAGAGCAACATTTTATCCTGTTGTTTTACTGCCAGAAAGTCAAACCTTCCAAAAAGCAGCCGTTATTATTGATGAGTCAATCAAAATAGCAACATTTTATTCTGAAAGATATTAAGAAGTTTCGCGTTTTCGGAAACAAAAACCCATCCCTTCTGATCCATTACTGCAAGAAAGGCAAGTCTTCCATAAGGAAGCATTCCAAAAAGCAACACTTCATTATTTATGAGTCAATCAAAAAAGCAACATTTTGCTCCTGCTCATTATAATGTGGAAGAAAGGTTTGGTTTTCTCATTGTATTCCATCTCAGAAGCAACATTCAAAGTTTCCAATAAAACCCTACACCAAGCAGACAGATGTCAGGTGACGCCTTCGGAGGAAAGCGAAAAGCAATCCTTCGGAAGAAAGGAGTGTGCTTGTACTCTTGGGAGACCTGGTCATAAGAAATGACGTCATGTATGAGGATAACCTCTGTATGCAACCACATCTGTGGAACCAATTTCTATAAATTCCCACACTAAATATTTAACCAAAATAATCAGAATTCAGAACCACAAGAAACTGACAAATTGTGATAATTAAAAAAATGCTTTTTGAAGAAAAATGCATATACATCTATTCAATTTGTTGTAATATGTTGCACAATTTGCATCTCATGCTATGTAACCAAAACAGAAAACTATGCAGTTCCTGGATGAACCAGGATAATTTCTTTGCATTTTCTAATAAATACAATGGTACCTCTGACCAGGTTCCCTGAGTTTGTGCTGAGGGTGTCTAAGAGCATGTTTTCGGTTTAAAAGGCTGGTTCGTACACTTCTGACATGCGACCGCCTTGCATCATCCCGTAGGACGACTAGCGCATGCATGCATGATCACGGGGTGACCTGGATTATCTCAGTCAGAATCTGCATGAAAACTTTATCTAGGTGTACGTGTGATGTACCCGCACAAAACCTTGTGCTTCTTCCTGTTCTTCCGAGAGTTCCACACAAACACACACACTACAAACACAACATGTACAAAAGCAATAGCAAGGCAAAAGTCTACAAAGGGAAGGAAACTACGACGTGTGCAGTCAGGTCCCGTGGGCTTGCAAATGCAAACCAAGGTTCCAGGTGCAGTGTCAGCAACGACGCTCCGCCTGGTGGGACCCCTGCACGTTCTCTCCTAAATGACAGGGCGTGAGAAGAAGGAGTAGGTGAGGTTGTAGTTCTTGAAGCGGCAGTACTGATGGTCCTGGACCACGTAGCCCTTCATCTGCTCCTTCTTCTCCAGTTCTCGGTGGGAGTCTCGTGCCAGAGAGGCCTGAAACAAAACACATACAAGTCTAACACTGTTTCTAAACATCGCATAGGTCATTCAAATCAAAAGGTTTATATTCATCACAACTGATCAAGATAACTAGAGTGAATGAGTGAGTTTAGTTTTACACCGCTTTTAGCAACATTCCAGGAATATGACGGCGGGGGACACCAGAAATGGGCTTCACACATTGTGCCTATGAGGGAATCGAACCCGGGTCAACGGCATGACGAGCAAACACCTTAACCACTAGGCTACCACACTGCCCCAGATAACTAGAGGTTTTGTTTTATTATCCCCTGGGACAACGAAGTTGCGGGGGATTTAGAAACAAGTTCTGTCCGTCCATCCGTGCGTCCGTCACACTTTGTCCGAAGCATATCTCCTAAACTATTCGTGATAGCTTAACCAAACTTGGTACACATGTCAACCATTATCCCTAGATGTGCCTTTTGGGGGTTAGACACAGGTGCGAATTATATTTTTTGCGGTTTCCATGGAAACATGACTTAGCCTGTGACTATGAGGATGTCATCTTGTCCGGAGCAGATCTCCCAAACTATACATACTAGCTTCACCAAACTTGGTACATATGTCAAGCATGATCTCTAGATGTGCCTTTTGGGGTTAGACCCAGATATGAATGTTTTTTTTTTGTGGTTTCCATGGAAAAGTGACTTAGCCTGTGGCTATGAGGATGTCATCTTGTCCGGAGCAGATCTCCTAAACTATACATGCTAGCTTCATCAAACTTGGTACACATATCAAGCATGATCCCTAGATGTGCCTTTTGGGGGTTAGATCCAGATATGAATTTTTTTTTTTTTGAGGTTTCCATGGAAATGTGACTATGAGTGACTATGAGGATGCCGTCTTCTTGCATTTCCATGGCAACAAGTTAGGCTTCAACTGAATTTGGTGGTAGCGCTCCCTTCTGGAGCAGATCTTAAAAACCTTTCACCATTCTCCTTCCACTTTGCTGTATACACTCCAAAACATTTGACATAATCGTAACTAGTAGACATATTCATAAAGAGTATTTTGCCGTTGAGGGGGATATTGCAGTGCTTCAGCCAGGCAAGCGCCATTGCGCCATTGACACTAAAAAATATGCAGTGGCACTCTTTTTCAATGCTAGAGCGCCCATTGGCGTAACATTGAATATAATCCACAGGTCTTCTATACCATGGTTACCTTGAATGGCAAAAGTCTCAACTGCATTGGCACACATTTTAGTAGTTAAAGTGCCAATTGGTAACACTCAAAAAAAATCCTGGCTGAAGCACTGATATTGATGACTTTGTCTTCTTGTTTATATTAGTGTTGGAGTGATTAAAAAATAATCGGTCAATCAATCAATGTCGCTTGAGTTAGCCATTTTTAAGGGAGACTAATCATATTCATAAAAAAATGAAACATCAAATAATAACTTTAGAAAGTGTGTTTCTTGTATGTAAATTGATCAATCTCACTTGCGTCAGCAATTATCAATGGGTTTGGGAGACTAATCGATACTCAAGTTAAGTTTCAGAAAGAATGTTTGTTCAATCAAGACATAAACAACTGATGCTGTTTCCTAACACTTAAAACTGCAATGTAAACAACATACTCGCGTGCTTGTCTCAACAAGAAGTATCTTCAATTGTCTTGATTATAGTAGTAATGAGTGCCTGTTTCATTCGCACGATGTTATGATTGTGTCCCATCAATGCCCACATCAGTTTTGAGGTGGGTTTTACGACGATTACAATTGATTATTCAGAGGCCCAGATAAGCTGCGTATCCGGGTAAAATACGCATAGAAAATTTCCATTTACGCATTGAAAAATAATTGTTGCGTACCAATTAAGCATTTAAAATGTTAAATACACAAAAAGTTTAAAACAAATGTGTATGAAATATATTTATAAAAATCGCTTGCGTAATGAAAAAGACATCGATTGCTATCAAGTTGTACTGTTAGTATAGGACTAGTGTTGTACTGTCAGTATAGGATGAGTGACTTTTTATGAAATCATTTCCATTATATTTAAGTTGGTTTTGATTAGGTATGGCATAAGGCAGAACATACCTGCTTAGTAAACTTACTCAATGACGTAATACTTAGGTGAGTAAAATGACTGGAATATGCACATATTTGAAAGCAGTGGGTAACGAAAAATGAAACACCCACTCAACATTCATAATACCCACTCCAAAATAATACAGTGGGTACAGTACCCACATGAGCTAAATCTTATCTGGAGCTCTGGATTATCGATCAATTACTGAACTTATCCATCTGCATACTGGGACCAACATTAATTTCCATTAATGCTATCATGTTCCAAGTTTTATGAGAACTTAAATCATTTTTCTTTGCCTGAACTATGATGTTCTAGTTGCCAATGACTTTTCTACATTTAAAACAAAACAAATGATGACGTGATCAAGCTTCTGATGAGAGATCATGCTGCCCATAATAATGTAGTTCCTTTGTAATTTATAAACATATGTTCAGTATGACATGATGATCATGTCCAGTAACTTACCTTATTAGCAAAGATGGTCATAAGAAACTTGCCAGGGTTGAAAACACTGAGAACCTTCTCTATCAGGTCTTGGTAAGTTTCCTGCAAGTACATCCATGACGTAGTTCTCAGAAACCGTCTTCAATCAACCCTTATATCCATATAATCTATATACTTCTATAGTCGCCATATTTCAGAAGTAACTTATGTTTTCTAATTAATGATGTCAAATGAAACTCCTTGATCATGACATGTATGAACACATCTATATTTGTATCAATATCCAGGTAACTTCTAAAACTTCTAAATCACCAAATTTGTACTCATCAGTATCTGAAAATTTCTAAAAGAGTTATTGGCATTTGAAAATACATGATCTAATGCTATCCTGGTCGTTTTATAATGGAAATTGTTAACATGACTGCACCAGTCAGTGGGAAAATAATTCCCCTTGGCTAATACTGTAAAGAACCTCAGCAACTGAAGATAAACTTCATTAAAATATTGATCAAAAGAGTAGTTTCTTTAGTTGCTATACAGCAAAATCACAGTTTCAGAGTGCCAGTTTCTAAGTGCACTGCACTTAGTAATTCCTGGGATATATGAAAGGTATGTCCTACCTGTGGCACATTACTCTCGAAGCTGACGTAGCTGCAGTGAGGCTCTGGGGTCACGTGAATGGTGATGTAATAACCCTGTCAGGAGCAAAGGTCAAACAATTCACAACATGGTGAACAACTTTTTAATATTTGATAGTGAATTGCAGTCAATGTCTTTTGTGTGTGTGAGTGAGTATGGTTTTACACTGTTTTAGCAATATTCCATCAATAGCACGGCAGGCTTCACACATTGTACCCTTGAGGGGAATTGAACCTGGGCCTTTGTGGCATGACAGGCGAACGCTTTAACCACTAGGCTACCCCCACCACCCAATGACTTTTGAAGAAATACAAGAAGATCAACTGGTTGTTGCTTAAATTCCAGATTCCAATTATGTTAAGGATATCTATTTGTTTTATAACTCCAACTTAGAAATTACATGCAATGTCTGAAAGAAAATTGAACTTTTTGTGGTTTGATAAGAGTGAGCGAATGAATGGGCTGGGTTTCATGCCCTTTCACCAGTATTCCATTTATAGCATGGCTTTTCAGCTTAATGTTGAAGAAAAGGCCGAAGTCTCAAAGATTCAACATTTTGGTGAAACCCTCAAGAATGGGCATAATGCTGAACCCAAACTAACTGTTTTCTGGCATGCCCAAGAAAGATAACTCTGCACAACAACTTTGGGTAAGTACTATCCTGCCTCTTCCAAGTGAGTGGGAATGGTTATACACCGTTTTTAGCAATATTCCAGCAATATCATGGCGGGGGACACCAGAAATGGGCTTAACAAATTGTACCCATGTGGGGAATCGAACCCATGTCTTCAGGGTGATAAGCTGAGGCTTTAATCACTAGGCTACCCCACCGCCCTGCCTCTTCTAAGACTAGGTCAAGTCAGTAGTACTTACTCCTTTGACAAGGCCATTCATTGAGTAGCCACATGGTTCGAACAGGAAGTCATCAATCTTGGCTCCGGGGATTATATCAAAGATTCCAGATTTCTGAAACAAAAGAGAAAAAACCCATTATTACTGCTTTGAACACAAGTCAATGTATAAACTTTCCCTATTGATGCATTGACTGGCATAATACCTCCCTATTTAACACATTGGGAGGTGGACTGAAGCAGACATGGTACCTCCGTATTTGACACACTGAGTAAGGGGCAGAAACAGACATGACACTTCGTTATTTGACCCATTTTGAAGACATTGTACCTCCCGTTTGACACATTGACAGACATGGTGCCTCCCCATTTGACACATTGACAGACATGGTACCTCCCCATTTGACAGACATGGTACCTCCCTGTTTGACACATTGACTGACATGGTGCCTCCCCATTTGACAGACATGGTACCTCCCCATTTGACACATTGACAGACATGGTACCTCCCCGTTTGACAGACATGGTACCTCCCCGTTTGACACATTGACAGACATGGTACCTCCCCATTTGACACATTGACAGACATGGTACCTCCCCATTTGACACATTGACCTCCCCATTTGACACATTGACAGACATGGTACCTCCCCATTTGACACATTGACAGACATGTTACCTCCCCATTTGACACATTGACAGACATGGTGCCTCCCCATTTGACACATTGACAGACATGGTGCCTCCCCATTTGACACATTGACAGACATGGTACCTCCCCATTTGACACATTGACAGACATGGTACCTCCCCATTTGACACACTGACAGTGTCAAAGACACTATATGATCAGTATTCAGACTGTTGAGAAAATAATTAATTTCATATTCCATAAAAATTATAACAATTTTCATATACATGCAATAATTCTACACACCATGTCATGACTCACATCACTTTCCACATCACAACCATATCTCCTATACAATTACTTCTTTCCTTGTACAGATGTTCCCATGGTTTAATAACATATCAAAGAATTAATAATATACATAATTACTGTGAGTGGTTACATTCATGTTTATTTCCTTTTTGCAATATTCCAGTATTATGACTTCAGTGATACGTGGAATAGACTTGGCAGAATGACAAGTGGATGCCCAGGTTAATAGTGACATATGTTGGAATCCTAATCAAAGATATGATAGAGTGGTGTATACATCTTTCACTCGTGACAGCTTGACATGTAATTACATTGCAAGGACCTATCTGGACCTGCTCAGAAGCTGAAATCTGACAGAAAATTCAGCAGCAAATGTGACAGAAAATTTCCAAAGTGGAGTGAAAGGTTTCTCTTTTTGTGACAAAAACTAATACCTAATTGTCTTTGTTGATATAACCTGTATTTAACTGATAACAGGACAAACACATAGAAAGAGTTTGTAATGCTTCGTTCTATACTAACATTATAATTAACTGCAATGTCAAATATATTAAGAGAAGTTACCTCTAAATCCAAATACAAAAGAATATAACATATCCAAAGATCCAAATTATGAACAAAATATATTTTCCCCAATTTGCCTGCAATGTCACTTTAAAATCCTAGGTATATTTCTGACATGCACATAGCAATCAACAGTCTATATGGAGGGATTCAAGCTCCTACTACAGGATCTCATCAAATAACAATTCAGGCAATCCGTGGATACATATAGGATTTTTACAATTATGATATATTTGTACTGGGCATGTGTGTCTTAACTGGGGCTGGAATGAATCAATTATGAGGAGAATGTGATATGTATAATGTATCATGAATATTGGGTAATGCATACAATAACAAGTCAACAGCTGATGTATTATTGAGTTCATTAAGTGAAACAACAACAAAATATATTGTTTGACATGTTTTTAGCATGTTATTAGTATCAATTTACTACAAAAATGTCCAGTGACCACACTATTGTCAATTCAAATATGACAGTGTGGACTGTTACCCTGCCTAGCTTAGACATCTTCCACTTCACATACCTTCACTTTGATAAATAACACAATATTCAAACTCTGGTTTTAAAAAAGTTCATGTAGGTTCAATTATAGTGATTGCAAATAACAAATTGAATTCATAAGGCATACATTTCGATTCACTGTAAGAGAATTGCCAAAAAACACACCAGTCTACACTACATCAAGTATATTTTCTCTGTCAGCAATGTACCACATGTCTGAGTAGGACAACTGTAAGAGTGGATTTAAGGTTTTGACTGGTTGAAGAGCCAAAGTCAGTATCTTGCTGAAAAATAATTAATATACATACACCATGTTTCAGAGCTGTCATCTGAATATGTTTTTAAATATTCAGTGTCCACTTTTGATATTTTTAGGATCACAGCATCAACTGTATATGATTCACAGGTGAACCCACTGAACATCGTGTTAACCACCAAATATCACAATCAGGCAGAATTCTGGGTTCAAAAAATCATTGGATCCTGGCAGCTAACTGCAGCAGTTTCAGATTTCTGATGTTTTGATATTTAGGCCTTGGACACTCAGACGTTTCTGGCTATGTACAGACTTAAACTTGCCAGTGTCTAGTGCGACTGAGGAAAGGTCACACCTACCTTTGTAGCCTCGGGTCCGTCTACGCACACCTCCTTGGTAAATATCTTCATCTTCTCTTGGCACATGTCCCACATGAGCAGGTGGTCGTGGTTAAGGTATAAACTTTGGTGGGTCATACAGGTACCAAGGAGAAAGTCAGAGGAATACTGGAGATGTTGTCTTATTAATAATTAATGAATTTGAAAATTGCTATTTGAAAGGAAAGATAAGTCCCAAATGCTATTTGAATGGAAACATCGTCCCATTTGCTAATTGGATGGACACAAGGTCCGATTGGTTATTTGAATGGAAACAAGGTCCATTTTGTTCTTTGAATGGAAACAAGGTCCAAATTGATGTTTGCATGGAAACACGGTCCTACTTGCTATTTGAATGGAAGGTCTGAACTGCTTTTAGGATGGAATAATAGTCCCAACTGCTTTTGGGATGGAAACAGGGTCCCATTGCTATATGCTGTACGATGTACTAACACTAAAGTATGGAGGAGAGAAGGAAACAAACAGACCAGAAACAACTGTATACAACACGGTCATAACAACAGGTTCCCTATCTATTTGGGGCAGACCGTTGCCTGGCAAACTGCACGTCAATACCACAACCTCGCTTATAGTCCATGTTCCTTGTTTACCATGGCTTAAAGGATATTTCAAAAGTCTGATCAGGCCGAGTAACACCTTCCTCATCCAGAGTGTACAGATACCTGCCAACAAACAAAATACATGTTATCAAAATGAGGGGCTCAAACAGATGTAACACTACTCTCATTTTCTTTGACAGGCATTTCCACTAAACAAGGAATTCCCTGTTTACAGAGCAAAGATATGAAGAGAGCAAACATTTCAATTATTTTTGTGATAACTTTTGGAATCCTTATATTTCAGAATCTGTTAAGCTGATTGATCAGTTGAAACAAAACACAATTACTGATGGAAATATGTCATCCATTGGTTGTGACATCCCAATCCATTTTTCCCATAAAACAGGGTAAAAATATATGGTTCATACCCAAACCCACATGGTTCATACTTATCCCTCCAGGTTCATACCCAAACCCACATGGTTCATACTAAATCCAACACATGTTTCCTACCTTATCCGACATGGTTCATAACTAATCCCACATGGTTCATACCCAAATCACCCCAAGCAGGGACTCAATGATATTCTCATATGATGACAAGAAAATACATACCAGCAGTCACGATTGATTCTCCCCAAGCTGTAGGCAGCTCCATCTGCAACAGGAGACAATGTCACATCATATTACACTCGACAATGTATCACTTCAAACCTTATTTATAAGGCAAGGTTTCCAACAAGCTGTCGCAATACTGCTGAAACATGGTTACCTGTATATATCTAGGACAGAGAAACTGATAACTTCTTTGGGTGCCAAGTATTATAAGTTGGGTAGTACAATACAGACAAACTTTATGGATAACAACTTCTTTGTTTCGATACAAATTCTTGCTTGACAACGGGACAAGAACCTGTATTGATTCGAAACGTCGCACTCTCAAATAAAGATATTGTTATCCATAAAGTTTGTCTCTAGTTGGTTGGTTGTTTAACGCTGCACTCAGCAATATTCCAGCTATATGACGGTGGTCTGTAAATAATCGAGTCTGGACCAGACAATCCAGTTATCTTCATCATCATCTAACGCAGTTGGGAGCCGATACCATGTGTCAACCAGGTCAGCGAGCCTGACCACCCGATCCCTCTTATGACAAGCATGGGTTATTGAAGACCAATTAGAACCCGGATCTCCACACATTGTTTGTACATAGAGAAAGTGATGATTGACAGCATGAACAACAATCCACTGGGTCATGGCACAATCAGTAAGTAGCGGTGAAACAGTTTACCGCGGTATGGTATACCGTAATGCAATGCAAAAATTCAGTATTTCGGTTTTCCTACCATCATTTAATTAATCTGTTTAATTTTTTCTAAAATGTCCAGAAAACTAATCATTTTGCCAAAATCTGTGTGCATTTCTTTTCTAGACGGACGCTATTTTCCCGGGAAGTAAGTTCTCATACCAAAACGAAACGGACCGAACTGAAGATCTTGTACTGCAATACGTACCGTACCCTGGTAAGAACATACCGTTTCACCACCTATCAGTAAGAACACGGTAATATGGATATCTATGGCAAGCTCCTATGTGAAGCATGTGTTAATTGTGACCTCCCCTGTCATTGACTGACTGACTGAGTTTGGTTTTACGCCGCTTTTAGCAATATTCCAGCAACATCACGGCAAGGGACACCAGAAATGGGCCCCCCTGTCATTGAATCCTTTAGAGGTACACTTATCTCTTAAGTTCTCAGAATCAGTTAATATCAGAAAATAATACCCCTAGGGTTCCCAGTCCCCTGTCCTCATCATTAACCTGAAGTACAGTTGAGAGCTATGGAAAACAACAAATCCCAAAATCCATGAAAAATTGTTAAAACTACTACTGAGGCAGATTCAAGGACAGTTTAGATTTTTTTATTCTGGCTTTTTTTCTTTCTTTATTATACTGAATCACTAATCTGCTGACCCTGTTTTCTTCCATTGGAACAATAAATAATCCAAATTTACATCCTTACTTTGGTGACATGTCATACATTTAAAATTATTTTGCAACTATGCAATTATCTCAATGTTGCTGTAAAAAACAAATCATCTACAAAACTTGACAATAGTATTCGTACAAATAACTAAACTACTTAGCCACAGAAAAATTCCCAAAATAATTAGTCTAGAGTTATGTCCCCCGTCCTTTACAAACAAACTTCACTGACGCTAACTTCCTTTGTCTTCTGGGACCAAAAATAGAGAGGATAGACCAAGGCTTCCAGCAGATGATGGCGTAAGGACAGTGACCTTATTGATTTTTATCTCCCCTTCCTAGTGGCATAAGGGACCGTTCATAATCTATGGCTTGGGGGGGGAAAGGAAAGAAAGAGAAGAGAGAGAAATGATGATTTAAGGGGGGGTCACCCATTTTGTTCTGGGGAGGTAGGGGGTCATCAATTTTGTACATAAAAATATGCAAAAATCATGCTTAAAAATTATTGGAAGGGGGAGCAGGGTCATTGATTTTGTACATGACATGCAGGGGGGTCACTTACTTTGTACATAAATTTTAGAGGGGGGGTGGGGTGTCATTCACATTGTACATGCTTCTCCATAAATATCATCATCATTACACACACACACACCCCACCGGCCATAAATTACGAACTCTCCCTAATGTGCTAAAACAATCCATGACCCAAATAGTGAGTGAGTTTAGTTTTACGCTGCACTCAGCAATATTCCAGCTATATGGCGGCGGTCTGTAAATAATCGTGTCTGGACCAGACAATCCGGTGATCTACAGCATGAGCATCGATCTACACAATTGGGAACCGTTGACATGTGTCAACTAAGTCAGCGAGCCTGACCACCCAATCCCGTTTGTCGCACCTTACTAAAAGCGTAGTCGCCTTTTGTGGCAAACATGGGTTGCTGAACACCTATTCTACCCCAGATCTTCATGGGTCATATTTAAAATAAAGTTCCACTTGTTACTTCTGACTTGATCTAAAATGTACAAAATAATGGCCTAACAAGTCTTATATGTGGGAATGCCTACAGATGTTCAAACGTTTTTCTCTAAGTGACCTTCTCCCAACACTGTGTTAACCACAGACAGACGATGCATCACCACAGCAACTGATGAAGATGTATGCAGTGGCTGCAACATTTCACAAGTGGGTGAGGTTATGCAGAACATGGCAACATCATGGGAAGCCTCTGGGAGATAATTCCCAGGTGAACGTGCGCTGTATCCAGTACAGCTGATGACAGTTTCTGGGTCAGCTTGAGTCACCACATCAACAGTGATTGTCACAGCTCACTGTCGTTAACATGAGAACCAGTAACCACCATGGCATGATGAGACAACATCCTAAACATCGGTGGGGTAGCCTAGTGGTTAAAGTGTTCGCTCGTCAGGCTGAAGACACAGATTCAATTCCCCATGTGAGTACAACGTGTGAAGCCCATTTCTGATGTCCCCTGCCATCATATTGCTGGAATATTGCTGAAAGCGGTGTAAAACCATACTCACTCACTCACTCTCTTGTACTTGGGTGCCTTTAACTCACAAACTAATATAATTTGAATAGAAAAATAACGTACAATGGATTTTACATAATTATCAAGCTATTCAACTGACTCACTAATACCCATGCCTAAGTGCTGCTATAGCTTTCAAAAACAGTGTTATCACTATCCCCTGCCATGGAACACATTAGAATTATCTTCGTTCAGAATTTAAGAGTGATTATCAGAGTGAGTGAGTTTCGGAGTGAGTGAGTGTAGTTTTATGCCGCTTCTAGCAATATTCAGACAATATCACAGCAGGGCCACCAGAAATTGGCTTCACACATCGTACCCCTGTGGGAATTGAACCCGGATCTACAGTGTGACAAGTGAACGCTTTAACCCCTAGGCTACCCCACCAAATGTCAAAACTCAGTCATGGGTAATTTCATGTAACTTCAGTAGTGTGTGAGAATACTTGTCCCCATTCAGACACTATGGCCTGAGTAAAATACCTTCAATAAAGGGCCATATTTGTGTATGCTCAAGATAACCAAACATGTAACTCTGGAAAAGAACTTTATGGCACCACTCATAACTCAGGTTTGACAATTATCTCTTGAATAGGTTTGCTATGTTATATTTGTGTAACTTCAATCAGTTATTTCTGAGAATACTTGTCCCAATTGCAGACATTATGAGTAATTATTACATTAAATGACATGAATTAAGTGCCATAATTGCATACAATTATGCATTTACAGCAAATATAAACAGTTCAGTAGATCTCAGAAAAGATAAAAATTTAATTCAAGACTCCAAATTTCAAAATTATTTCACATCATTACCAGATACATCAGTATGTAAAATTTGAGGTCTTCAACAATTTTTGTAGAAAAGTTTTCCCCATTAAGTCACAGACTGACGGATGAACATTGTTCCTATATCCTCGGCAGGGGATAATACTAAATAACATCTTTGTAGATTTCTAGATAAAAATCTTATGACTTTGAACAATAATGCTGAATGGTTGGATAGAAAAGTCATCATGTAAATGTATTTCTGTTTTCAATGAGGTAGAGAGTCTGGTCCAGACATGATTATGTACAGGCCGGTGTCACGAAGGTGGAATATTGCCGAGTGCTGCATTATACAACAAATATACAAACCAAACGCTTTTATAACACTGTGTGGATTCTGGGGCAAAACAGGTCCTAACCTTGTCAGCAGATCTGATTCAAGTGAGGATTGGTAGGTCCCAGTTTTTGACCTGGCTGGCTGTGTGCTGTAATTCTGACCCCAACTCCCTAATCCCCCACCCCCACCCCGGTTTTGTCTGGCCCAGATTATATTTTGTCCACCTGGCATGACACAGCATACAGCTGGAGCACTGCCCACTGCAGGGTACAACACAGTTTCATGTCTAGTGCTAACTGATTTGGTTTGATATTTTGATAAGTTTTTAATGAAGGTGGCTAAATATCGGAGTGAATCTCCTGTCAGTCAGTCTGTCATGTTCTGACACTTGTTTCCTGAGACCTAACATATGATAGAAACCAAGGGATAAATGCATTAATCTAGTTGCGACTGACTGTGTTGTGACTGAGAAAGACTGACAGTGACTGAGACTGAAACTGACTGACTGAGGTTGCCTGAAACTGACTGACTGACTGAGGCTGAGGTTGCCTGAAACTGACTGACTGACTGAGGCTGAGGATGCCTGAAACTAACTGACTGAGGCTGAGGCTGCCTGAAACTGACTGACTGAGGCTGAGGTTGCCTGAAAGTGACTGACTGACTGAGACTGAGGCTGCCTGACTGACTGACTGAGGCTGCCTGAAACTGAGGCTGAGGCTGCCTGAAACTGACTGACTGAGGCTGAGGTTGCCTGAAACTGACTGACTGACTGAGGCTGCCTGAAACTGACTGACTAAGGCTGAGGTTGCCTGAAACTGACTGACTGAGGCTGAGGCTGCCTGAAACTGACTGACTGAGGCTGCCTGAAACTGACTGACTGAGGCTGAGGTTGCCTGAGGCTGAGGCTGCCTGAAACTGACTGACTGACTGACTGAAAGACTGAGGCTGCCTGAAACTGACTGACTGAGGCTGAGGCTGCCTGAAACTGACTGACTGAGACTGAAACTGAAACTGC